CCAGAAAATACCCCTCAAAACAACTCCCCAAACCCTCTAAATCTACCAACAAACCTCCCAGCCCACCCACAGCTATTGCTCCCCAAACCACCACCACCACCACACAGAGCAAAGTGATGAGGGAAGAGGAGGGTGACGATGACTACAATGAGTTTCTCCTGCACCCCCTCGCCTTCCTTTGAAGGAATTGGGGTAGGAGATCATCCTCCCTGTGATTACAGATCCCACAACAGATCCCACAGATCCTACAACAGCCACACCACCACCCCCTGGGCTCGTTCCAGCTCCACGTGGACCGGGGACAACGCAGCTCATCCACAGTGGAATGAAGCAAGGAGAGTGGCTTTGCTGTCACCACAACCCTGGTGGGCTGAATCGGGCCAACACCCTCACCTTGCCACCACTGAGATATGGGGTGGGGAGATCTGTAGGGTCCCTGATGGCTGTGAGGGGGCAGGGGCTGTGCTGCACCCTGTGGCACTGGGGTGGTCCCTGGGCTTCCAGGGAGGGGTGGGGGGGACCCTACACCTCTAGACACACCACCAGTAACAGAATTAGGGCCTGTCACAGGATCCCAGAGTCATTAGGGTTGGAAAAAGAGCTTCAATGTCCCCACCAAGCCCTGTCCCCAAGCACCACGTCCAACCTCTCCTTGAACACCCCCAGGGACGGGGACTCCCCCACCTCCCTGGGCAACCCGCCCCAACGCCTGACGGCTCTTTCAGAGCAGAAACGTCTCCAAATTTCTCCTCATTTCCCCAAATTTCCAACCTACCCCCCCCGCCCCATTACCTTGGCCCCCGCCGCGCTCATCCCTGCGGGGCCGCGTCCGCCGCCCAAAGCGCTCCCCCCGCACCCTTCAGCCCAGCCCCGCGTTCCGCCGCCCTTCCTTTCTCTTTTTTGGGGCGTTTTAGGGCGAAACCCCGGCGGTGGGGGAGCCTTAGGGGGATGGAGGAGGGAGGATGGAGGAGGGATGGCGGTAGCGGGGCTGTGTGGAGGAAATGTCTGCTTGTGCTGACGGGGGAGGGCAGAGACCGCCATAACGGGCATTTGTACAGTTCAGGAGCAAACAAGGGAAAATTCCTGCAGCGTGGAAGGGAGGACACACTGTCCTTGACCCTATCTTTGCCCCTGTCTTTGTTTTTGTCCCTGTCTTTGTCCCTGTCCATGTCCTTTTCCCCACACCACTGCCAGCGCGGCGCACCCAACACTGCCCGTTCGCCGCTTCGCCTTGCTACCTTCTGCCCGCCTCCTCACTCTGATTGGTCCTCCGCCTCGCTTCTTGCAGCCTGATTGGTCTTCCCTTCCCATCTCGCCATCCGATTGGCCTTCCGCTGTGTCCATCAAATCCAACCGGTCCCCTTTGCGTCGCGTCTCGGCGGCCATCTTGAGTGTGGCGCGCTGAGCGCGGCCCGCCCAACCCCTCCCCAGCGCGGGGCGGCGGCCATCTTGAGTGTGGCAGGGGCGGCGGCCGCCATGTTATGGCGGCAAAGGGGCGCTGTGAGGGGAGTGGGGTGGGTTGTGGGGTCGGCGTTTCTCAGCCCTCAGGCGGCCCCACTCCGGCTGTAGGATCACAGCCAGCACCCAGCAGGCTCCCCCCAGCCTCCTTCTCCTGCCTGAGGGGCGTTTGGGGTCGTCCTGGGCTGAGGGGAGCTGAGGGGATGCTGCTGAAGCTGCTCAGGGCAGCCCTGCTTCAAATTGCCCAGAAAAAAGTTTATTTTTTAGGGCTTGCAGAGGCAGGACAGGACCTTAGCCCTTAGCAAACATCCACGTAGTGGTTCTAGGGTCAGCTGTGGCCACGCTGGCAGGAGGCCAGGGCCCTTGAGGCTGAAGGAGGGGTGAGGCATTCGGGGCCTGCAGCAGGCCCGCGTGTGGCTCGTGAGAGAAATAAGCAGGATTTTGTTTTATTTTTTTGAAGCAGGGTGCTCTGCTGAGGTAAATCCTGCCTTATTGCCTGTGCTTTGATCCCTGTTGCTGTCCCTCTCAAGGCAATGCCCTAAAATAATTTAAATGGAAGGAGTGGGGCTGGTGGGAGCCTCTGATTTCTATATAATGTCTGTTTATTGCCAAGAGGAGGTCTTAATGGAAAAAAACCAACACAATCAGACCTTGATTTCTCTTAAACAACAACAAAAAAAATGGGTATCAGCTCCTTAGAGTGTAATGGAACTGGAGAGACCCTTGCAGGGTCCCTGCCACCCTCCTTAACCCTTTCTCACTCTTCTTCCCCAGCCCATCTCCAACCCAAACCTTCATTTCCCCTAAGCCCTTCCCCACGCTTTTCCCAATAATTTCCCAATTTCTGCCTGGCAGATGCTGCTGGGGCTGAGCCCCCACCTCAGCACCCTCCTTCCCGGGCAGCAGCTGCCTGGCAGCGTGGTGTCAGGTCAGGATTTAGAGCCCCGGGTTACTGATTGCTGCCCCGATTACTTTTGGCAGGGCTCATGATTGACTCTCTCACTTTCTCTTTAGGGTTTTTCAGCTTTCATGGGCACCGCAAGCCTCCAAAGTTGACCGTGTGCCTGCTTCCTGCCCTCTCATCCACCCTGCCACCCTGTGTCCTTGCTGGCTGCGTGCACGGAGCTCCCAACGCGCTCTCCACACCCCAGGTATGCACGGAAGGAGGAGAAGGGAAGGTGAGAGAACAAAACCCACGCAAAACCAGAGCCCCTCCACGCACAGCCTGGGCTCAGCGCCACCTTTGCATTCAAATCCAACCTCCCTGCGTCGTGAGGACACAAGCTCCTGGGTCTGAGCGGTGTTTTCTGGCACTCCCTGGCCACGGGGACCAGATGTTGTCCTGCCCTTTGATCTCTTCCCCCGCACCGGGGTTTGTTTGATAACCCCAAGGCGCTCGCAGCCAGGAGCGCTGCTGGAGTTTGAGCTGGCTTCAGACCTCCGCTCCCCTTCCGCAAGGGCTGGGCTTCTCCTCGGGGAAACCTTGAAGCCGTGGAGGCAATGCCGGGCTTGAGGAGGGGCAGCTGTGCCCAGAGGGCAATTAACCAACCCCATTAATTTATGGGGTGAGGCAGTGACGAGCGCTGCAGTTATGAGCATGTCATGCCCACGGTGGTGCTTTGTTTTATGGCCTCAAATGCTTTGTATCCCTAAAGGGGAGCTATCCGTCCCCAAATTCCCCTTAACACCTCTCCCCTCGCCTTTTGGCCACCCCCAAAACATTTCCGAGGATGGAGCACCGCCCCCACACCGAGTTTGGGGTACAGCAATCCCTCCCAAACACACAGCAGGGCTCCCCCCATCCTTTAACAGCCTGCAGGTCTCGGGGAAACAAAGAGCCCACCCCGTCATTGCAGAATTTCCACGAGGTCTGCCCGAGAATGATGAATTTTAAGGCCGAAGGGGGCTGCTCGATGACGTAATCTGGTTTCCTGCAGGTTGCAGGCTACGTTTTTCTGCAGCCTTGCAGCTGGGTGGGAGCAGATCACCCCTGGATTTGACGAAAGCAGCCCTCTCACGACGGCTCCCGCTCTCCATTTCGCTCCTCCCGGCGGTTTTCTGCCAGCCGAGAACGCTCTCGGCTAAAAAACGGGGAGCCAAAATGGGGAGAAACGGGCAAAAATCAGCTAAAGGGAGGGCTTGGCGCAGGTCAAGCGGATGCAGTTTGTCCAATAAAAGAGGAAAAAGGGAGAAAAATGACTCGGATTTCCATTTTTTCCTACAAAGAAAGGTGAAACCAGCCGGGGGTGCCACCCACATCCCCGGCGGCCGCCTCCTGGAGGAGCCTCGGGATGTTTTGGGCCGTGTTGGTTCCTCGGGACCTGGAAATGCCGAAGGTCACCAAAAGCTTCCTGAATTTCCACGTGGTTTGGGGCCGTGGCATCACTCGGGGCCGGGGCACTGGCTCAGGCTCCCCTTGCCATCATTAGGCTTCAGAGTGAACACCCCAAATACCCAGGACCCCCACTTCCCACCATTATTAGGCTCCAGGGTGAACACCTCCCAGTATCCAGGACCATCCCCCCTCCAGCATTAGGCTCCAGAGTTAACACCCCCAAAATTCAGTACCACTGCCCCCCCACCATCATTGGGTTCCAGGATGAACACCCCCAATATCCATCACCACTGCCCCCAGCCACCATTAGGCTCCAGAGTGAACACCCCCAGCATCCAAGACCCCCACCATCATTAGGCTCCAGGGTGAACACCCCCAGGACCCAGGACCACTGCCCCTCTCCTACTTCCAGCCCTCATTAGGCTCCAGAGTGAACACCCCCAATACCCAGGACCCCCACTTCCCACCATTATTAGGCTCCAGGGTGAACACCTCCCAGTATCCAGGACCATCCCCCCTCCAGCATTAGGCTCCAGAGTGAACACCCCCAGTATCCAGTACCATTGCCCCCCCACCATCATTAGGTTCCAGAGTGAACACCCCAAATACCCAGAACCACTGCCATCATTAGGCTCCAGAGTTAACACCCCCCAGCATCCAGGACCCCTGCCTGCCTACCATCATTAGGCTCCAGGGTGAACACCCCCTAATATCCAGCACCATCCCCCAGCCCCCATTAGGCTCCAGAGTGAACACCCCAAATACCCAGGACCCCCACCCTCTGCCACCATTAGGTTCCAGAGTTAACACCCCCAGGACCACTGCTCCTCTCCCACTTCCAGCCCTCATTAGGCTCCAGAGTGAACACCCCCAATATCCAGAACCCCCACTTCTCACCATCATTAGGCTCCAGGGTGAACCCCCCCCAATACCCAGCCCCATCCCCCTGCCCCCATTAGGCTCCAGAGTGAACGCCCCCACCCCCCTCAAGCCCCGCCCCCACCCCCTCAAGCCCCGCCCCCACCCCCTCAAGCCCCGCCCCCTCCGCCCCTTCCGCCCATCTGATTGGCTCCGCGGCCGGGCGCTCAAGGGCGGGGCGCTTAAGGGCTGGGGCCAGCGGCGCGCATGCGCAGAGGAGGAGGCGGAGGGGGCGGTGGCGACAACGGGCGGGGCTCCCGCGGCTGCTGCGTGAGGCGGGGGCGGGAGCGCGGCCCTGAGGGGAGCGGCGGCGCCTCCAGCTCCGGCACCTCCCGGGAGAGGTGGGGGGGGGGGAAAAAAGGAGAAAAAAAAATAAAAATAATATACCGGGAGGAGCAGAGAGCTCGCTGGGGGGGGGGTTAGGCTGCCGGCAGCGGCACCATGTCGGCGGGAGGCGACTTCGGGAACCCGCTGCGGAAATTCAAGCTGGTCTTCCTGGGCGAGCAGAGCGGTGAGGAGAGGGGATTTTGGGGGGATTTGAGGGGTTTTGGGGGGGTTTGGGGCTGATTCGTGTGGGGACAGCCTGTGGGGGGGGTGTTTGGGGGGGGTGTTTGTGAGGGGGGCGCCCCCCCCTTGAGGGGGTGTTTGAGGGGGGCTGCCCTGAGGAGATGAGGTGAAATTTGAAATAATTTAAAATTGAGGGATTTAGGGGGTTATTTTATTGATTTATTTGCTTATTTTGGATGGGGGGGGCCTGTAATGGATCCTCCAACCCCCCCTCTCCGCCCCATATCAGCTCCCTTTATGGGGAGCGGGGCCCGGCTGCTGATTCATCAGCCCTCAAAATCCTTCAAAATCCTTCAAATTCCCCCCAAAATCCCTGAAAACCGAGCCAAAAGGGGTCCTTTTCTCCCTGGCCTGCTGATTTAAGAAATAAATAACCCTGCTCCTTCCTCAGGAGAGCCCCCCTGTGATGTCCCCAGGGCAGCGGGGAGTTTTCGGGGTGCCCTCAGTGGGATCTCGGGGCCATCCCCGCTGATTTTGGGGAAGAAAACACAAAATCTGCCGCTGTCAGGGTGGGGTGCCGGCCCCCCCAGCCACCTTTGGTCCCTGTGTGGCAGCGGATGACGAAACACCTCAGCTTTTCTCCCCCCAGCGCCTCACAACCTGGCTTTTCCTCGCTCCTTTATAGGTGAGCCTGGCCGTGAGGCTGCTCCGAAACCCCCAAAATTTCATTTTTCACCCACCCTTTAACCCGCTTCTTCATTTTTTTCCCCTTCCCTTTATCCATTTGGGTAGCACGACTTCAACTGGGTGATTTCTTTTTGGAGGGAGTCGCCGGCTCGGCTGCTTGGCCAGCCATTTTCTGAGGATTTGGGAAAAGGAGCGTGTATAGGGGATGCCATCGGCTTTATTTCCATTTCCCTTCCGAATAACACCGTAAAACGAATGAAAAATCCGCCGTGTGTTCCCAAAATGCTGTGTTTTAGTGCATCTGAGCTTCAGTCGGGGTTTGGTGCATCTGAAATCTCAGCAGCCCTCGGATTGCACGTGAATTTCTCGCCCAGCCGTTCCCACAGCCGCATCTTCAGGCAGCTCCTGGCCATGGTTTGTTTTTTTTTCCCCCCTCCTAGCTAATCATTTGTGTTTCTACCACGATCTCTCCGATAATTCCCGTGGATAGCCTCAAATCTGAGAGATCTGAGGGGAAAGAGACGGGGTTTTATGGGCGTAATATGGACAAAATCCTGCTAACTCAATCCCTGCTGCTGCGACCGGCGTGCGGACGCCTTCGAGCTGGCTTTGGGGTGGCCCCGCTGCGGTGTGGGATCGAGACCTGCCTTTGTCTGGGCTCTGATTCCCCCCAAGGTGCTGCAGCCTGGCCCTGCTCCCTGCCCCGACGCCGTTCTGGCATGAGAAAGGGGGAAAAAAAAAAAACAAAAACCAAAAAACGGCTTTTTATTTTAGGGCTGAATCTCTCCGGGCGGTGCTGGCGTGATGTAATGCTGTGGGTTTTTTTTTTTTTTTTCCTGGTGTCCAAAGCGTTGAATAGCTCCCCTTACCGTGTGGTTCCTGGAAGAATTCAATGTCCTCAGCGTGCTCCTCTGTGTCAGGGGGGTAATTTGGGAGCATCCCTCCTTCTGCCGAGGGATTTTGAGTGGGTTTTGCTCCCCGTGGACCCCCCTCACCCGGTGCCGTTTTGAAGATTAAAGGAAAATCTCGATTTTATTTTTAATAACAGCATTTTTGTGAGCCTGCCCGTCTCTTTGTACAACTGTTGCTGCGTTCCCTTCCCGTGCAGCCTTGTCTGCCCTGCTGGGAGGCCCTAATTAAAGCTCTCCCCTTGCTTTTGGGGTGGGTGCTGGATGCTTCGGGGACCTCGAGGTGGCAAAGGAAAAGCTCCCGGAGGGCCACTCCGGCAAACATCTGTGTTATAGGGCAGAAATCCTGAACCGAGCCGGGTGCTGTGCAGCCCTGCGACGTCTCTTCCAACCTGGTGGTGTGGCAGAGAGCAGGGCCTCGCCGTTTAGGGTCTTTTAGGATTTTTTTTTTGGCTGCTTTCTGCTGCTCCCCTCAGCCATATTGCGGGCGCTCGCGCTGACTGCGGCGATCCTCCCTCGTTCCGCAGCTCGCCGCTAGCTGCGCATCCTCTCCCCTGCGCTGCCACGGTGATTTTAAGAAGCCTTTCTCCCCTCCCCAACCTTTTTCCTCTCCCGTGCCTGCCCCTGGCTTTTTATTGTCTGCTTTTTTCTTGCGCCAGCTCCTCCGGGCAGCCGCCAGCCCTCTGCAGGGAGGCAGGGCGCTCCCCTTGGGATTTCCTGCAAGTCATCGCCTCGGCCGGCCAGCGAAGCTCTTGCCGCATGCACCGAGGCTACATCCACCTCCAGGAGAAAGAAAAAAGCTTCTTTTTTCCCTTTTTTTTTTTTTTATTTTATAAACTTGTAGCACGAGGATACGGCGCCGGGCGAGGAGGCAGCTTGGCCACCGCTTGCCTTAATTGAATTACTTTTTTTCTCCACGATTGGAGATTAGCATATTTAAAACTGCTCAAACTCCGTAATCTTTGCTGAAAAGGCAGAGAGCTCTGTGCCGGGGGATTAGATAAAGCTATTGTGTAAAAAAAATACCCCAAAATCGTCTGCTGCTCACCGCCTTTGATCTTGTTTTATCAGGTGCCTTCCATCAGCCCCAGTGCCTCCAGCTTGAGGGATTCGGATTTCTGGGGCACATCAGTGAGCGCACACAGCACCTGTGCTGAGGTAGCTGCCCATAAATGCGGTATTTATACCCAAATCCGACACGTTTAGGCTTATTTTACCCGCGAGCATGTCTCCTTCCCTCATTTTTTGGGGTGGAGGGGGCAGAACCGGCCGCTGGGGCGCTGCGGGAGCCATGTCCTCTCCTCACGTGGCTTTATGATGCAGCTTTTATTGGCGAGCGAGTCTGAAGGGCACGGACGGAAAGCAAACGAAGGCCCCGGTGCCTCGTGCTGCGTTGCGTAAGGTCCCAAATAAATTAAAAATAAGCCCAAGTATCTGTTTTTGTCAGGATCCGAGAGGTTGACACCGAAAATGATGGTGGGTGCGATGTAAGAGCAGGTAGGATGCGACTGTTTGGAAACCACGCTGTGATGGGCAGTGCTGAGCACGGTAATTAATTAGATAATTGGAGAATTGGAGGTGGTTTGGGTGCGAGGCTGGCCCAACGCTGACCACTACCTCCAAGACAGGCATCCTTGGGCAACTTGTGGCTGGTTTTTGAGGAGTTCCCTGCCCTACAAGCTCCTGGCAGCCATCAAATTGATCAAATTGTCCCCTTTTCACCCATTTATTTTCCATGGTCTTGATTTTCTTGGCTGTGTCTTTGCGTGCTTGGTTTTGCGTTCGGGCTGGACGCCTTTTTCACAAGTCGCCGGGCTTGGTTTTCTTGGGTTCTTCTCAATATCGTCCTCCTCTCCTCCATCTCTCAAATAACCTCACCGAGGAGTGTGCCAGGCCTGGAGAAGGAGGTTGGAAATTTTGGTGGTGCCTTTTGATTCCTGCTTATTTGTGGGAGGAAGGAGACAGATCTGAAGGAGCTGGAGCTCTTTGCAAAGGGAAAAGAGCTGCACCTCTGCACTTCGGTGTTTTTTTCTGTTTGTATCACAGAAATAATTCCTGAACTTAGAAGAATGGGGTCTTCTGATGCCTTGGGGTAAAATCACGGGGTTTTATCTGCAGAGTTCAGTTCAGGTCTATTATGGCATTTGCTGATGGAAACCAACCAAAAACCAACCACCAGAACAACCAAAATGCCTCTCAGTGGTGTGAAACATGGCTTAAAAATCAAATTTGCTGTCTTGATATGAACACTAAAAGACTTTTTCCCATGACAACACCTGAAACTCATCATTTGGGTCCCGTAAGCTGCAGGAAAAGGTTCCCGGTGACAGCTGAATGCTTCTGAAAGGGTGTGGGAGCTCGTTTCGCTCTTCTGCTGTGGGACAGGGTAGGACAAAATAAAAAAGCTCTTTGGAAATGAATGGATGTAATCGTAATTACGAGTTTTATGCGTTAGTGTAAATTATTTCTGCGATAAATAGCAAAAAAGGGGCTCAGCAGGTGACTGACAGCCAACAAACACGTGGACTGGGAGGGGAAGTGGGATTTTTCAGGTTGGTTTTCTGGGTGTATTTACTGAGTTTATGTAGAGTTGAAAGCTAAATGGGTTCTGTCCTCGGCACAGAACAAACTCTGGTGGATAAGAAAATATTGAAGGGCCCAGGGACAGTAAATAATCAAATCAGTTGGCGTACATCGGGCATTCTCCCTCCTGTTTGAAGCTGGCTAGGCTGAATTTGTTTTAGGATATTCAAATAATGTGAATTGGGGTAGATTTTGAGTGCGTTTCCTTCAAATTCTTCTTACCTATATGAGGCTTAGTGCATCACAAGGGGAAAATGCTGACCTGGGAAGGAAATAATGAATGAAACTGAACTTAAACGAGTGGTTTTCACCTGGGGGAACGAGATACGGGTTCACACAGCTTCTGGCTGCCTCCTGCCAGCTTCCTTGGCACAGTCTGCTCCTCAGGTGAGGAAGGAAATCCTGGTTCAGCTGCTGAAGCTGAGCAGCAGCAGCGTTTCCTTAATTTGCCTTCGGACCAAGGGTGGAACTTGCCTTTGTTCCCAGCCAGCCCTTCTTTCTGCTGGCCTCCTGTTACACCGCGCTGAGTCAGAGCTGCCCGAGGGCTGCTGCCTGGCTTCCCACCTCTGGAAAAGCTCCTCCAGCTTCTGCTGTGCCTGGGGAACACCATCAGGTTCAAAAGCTGAGGAACACCCTCGTGCTGGCCAGAGCTTTGACTTTTAGAGTATTTTTCTTACAGAACCAACCCCCAAATCCTTAATTCTCGGCGATGATGAGAACCAGGTAGAAGGAGCCTTTATTTTTGGGGCATTTTTGGCCACGTCGCGACTTCTTTAATCCCATCGCCGAGACCAGAGCTGGCTGGGTGGATCCTGCGTGGCTTTGG